CACGGAGTGTGAGAGAGAGAGTTTCTTTGCATTTTTTTATTATTTTTTTCCTACCCAATGCAAGTAATGACCCAATCCATTTTTTATTATTTATCATATATAAAAAGTCTGATCCTTTTATTTTTTTGAATTTATCCCAAATTAGACAGATTGATTTGTTTTTTCACATAGATTAATTTTTTCAATATAATATATACGATAAAATGAATGCCTGTAATTTATATATTCAAAATTAGTATTAAAAAAATTATCCAAATATCTTTAATTTTATTAAAACCAATTTTAAAAATATTATCTAAATATCATCACGTTCTGTTAATCATTGTTTTATAATCAATATTTTTCAATTCAAATTCTAACCACAGTCTAAAACTACTAGTTTATATTGCAAGACTGAGTTGAAGTTGTGAATAAAAGTCAAAGTAGTGCTTAAGACTTGTAAATGATACAATTTTCACTTTTATATACTCATAATTCAAATGTATTTATTGTTTTACTTTAGTTCTATGACTTCTTTCTAGTCCTCAGGTGGTCTAAATTGTTGTAAAATCGTCTTTAATGAAATATTGGAAAAGAATAGATATGACCAAAGTTTAAAATCAATGCATTAAATTGAAACAGAAATTAAAATAAATTACTTAAGATATTGAAAGGGCAATATTTTTGCTTCAATTTAATAAATTGATTCTAAATTGCATATGAAATCGATTTTTAAACCGAGACCGATTAACACTAAACTAAAGTTGATTGGTTCAGGGTCTGTAACTGATAATTTGGGTTATTCCTATAATTATAACAACTTACAGAACTCAAGCCTAAACATAAATATCTTTTTTTAAAAACATTTTAAAATCAGATTTAAGTCAAAGTTATTCAAATTTTTTTTTGGTCTGATATTCAAAATTATACTATAAACGTGCTGTGAGTTCCACAACTCGAGAATCAAATCCAATTTTTGGATAGGCCACCAATTTATGTAAACCCAGAAAACAGAGGCCAGATGTCTCTCCCCTCGCCCCCTCGTTCAAAGCTTTGAACGAGTCATTCGTTACTCGTTCAAAGCTTCCACGTGTCTTCTTCACGAAGCCTTCGAACATTGCCATATTGATCCTCATCTTCGCCTCTTTGCTCTCTGCGAATTCAAAGCTGAGTCACCCAAATGGTTATCACCACCCCATCCACGTGGCACCAGCGCCACCTCTCCCCCCACATGTCCTCTCTCATGCATACCCATCCACCAGCCACCTCCTTCCCGACCGCCATGCTCACTTCCCCTTTTATATCCCGCTCATTCCGGTTTCTCTGTGTGTCTCATCTCGGACAAGCATATCATCGAACATAAAGCGATCGCTTGTACAGAAGAAGTTGACGACAAACAATGGCGTCGGAACAGGTGTCTCGCAGGGAGAACACGACTACCGAGAGGGAGGTTCACATTGAGAAGGATCGAGTCCCCAAGATGACCACCCACTTCGAGCATCTCGCTGAACAGGTCAAGGAAGGATCGGATACCCGCAAGGGAGTATTCAGGAGTTACCGGTGGGGAGTACAGGAAGGAGCATGGCGGGAGAGCCATTGGGGATATTGGCGGGACTGGGAAAGCCAGGGAGACTCATGAATTGGGGCCTCATTTCGAATCTCTTGCTGATAAGGTGAAGGGAGAAAGGGGGAGAAGAAAGAGTCTTATGCCGCTAAAGTCGGGAATACCGCGCCCTTTTCAAATGTGGGCCAGTTCGAAGGGAAGCTGAAGCGAACAAGGGCTCGGCTGGAGAGCTAGAGGGAGAGATCAATCTGAACCCGAGAGTCGATCCAGAGTAGTGAATACGGGCGGACCAACGCAAAGCGGTGTGGAGAAACAGGCAAGAGAAAACAGAGGGCAAGTTGAAGCGGGAGAAAGGAAGAAGAGGGAACAAAGGGCAGGTTGAAGCAGAAGAGGGAAGAAGCTGGGAAAACAGGGGAGGCTAGCTAGAATCAGAGAAGAGAAACTGGGGACGAGAGGCACAGAGAGCGGAGGAGAAGTTAAAGGCAGGGTTGGAGTTGAAACTCAAGGTCCTACTGCTGTTATAACGTGCACATTCGAAGGAGGCGAGAAGGAAGAAGATGGAAGGGACGCAAGAGGATTAGAATCAGCGACAGAGAGAGCAAGACGAGAAGAAAACAGAGGAAGAGGTGGTGATCAGGAGAAAGAATCACATCTACCTTGGAAGACATTTCCAAATACAGAGGCCAAGTCCAAGAGAACACAATGGAAGCTATGAGAGCAGCACAGGAGCGGTATGAAAGAGCAAAGCAGGCAGCTAATGAGACAGTCGGTTCTACAACCCAAACAACTCAGGAGAAAGCTGCACAGGCCAAGGACATAGCAATGGAAAAAGCTGCTCAAGCCAAAAGACTACACACTAGAGAAAGGCCAACAAGGCTATGCTACTGCAAAAGATACCATCTCAAGCGCCACTCAGACGGCTTCAGATTACACCTCTCAAGCAGCAAGAAGGCTGCTCAAGCTAAGGACGTGACATTAGAGAAAGGCCAACAAGGTTATGCTTCTGCAAAAGACACCATCTCAAGCGCCACTCAGACGGCTGCAGATTACACCTCTCAAGCAGCAGAGAAGGCGAAATCTGCAGGTAGCACTACTACTCAATATGTTGGGAGAGAAAGCTGGTCGGGCTAAGGATGTCACTCTGGAGACTGGCAAGACTGCTGCTGAATATGCTGGAAAACTGGCGGCTGATCTGAAGGACAAGGCGACTGTGGCAGGGTGGACGGCGGCGCATTATTCGACGGAGAAGACTGTGGAAGGGACAAAAGCGGCGGCGAATATTGTTCAGGGAACGGCGGGGTATGCTGCTAATAAGGCCAGTGAGCTTGCATCCAAGTCATTAGGTGCTGTCAAAGGGTTAGCTGCTAGAGCTGGGGAGACTGCTAAGGATTATACTGCGAGGAAGAAGGAGGAGGCAGAGAAGGATTACGAAACTAAAAAGCGTCTCAACCACAGGTTTTTATTCTCTTAATCGCAGTTCTAATTCATATATCTTATATATATATATTGGCTTAATTCACACACAACACTCCCAAAGGAAAGCTTCCCCCATTCGAAACTGCCACCCCTCACATTTGGGGGTGGCTAAGGTGGCATTAGGCCAACAGGCCTTCTGCTTCTAATTCATATATTCATTATGCATCATGCTTGAGCACACAGCTCCAGATTCACATGCAATCCTTGTTTCTTAAATGGTGATAACATTTCGGAATTGAAAATTCTGTTGGAAATATGTTCTAATTTTAGGATATTTGAAGAGTATTTTTTGTTTGTGTTTTTGTAAAAATAGATTCTAATTGATTTTTCCTTTCCCATGAAAGGAGTACAAGTTAGTGTCATGTCAAGTCTGAGGGAAAAGAGAAGGAATTTATGAGCATTTGTTTCTAATATTTTGCTTTTTAGATTATGAAGAACATGACGTTAAAAGCTTAAGTTCTTTAACTTTTTATTTAGGTTCCATACTTGAAAATATTTTTGCAACCCTGACTTGAATAGAGTTGAGTTTAATCTCCAGTGAATGTGCTGTGATTTTATTGAAAAGTGTACTATGATAACGCTGCTGAAAACTGAGACTTTCTTATGACGGTTTCACTTGAGGAAACTGAGCGGAGGCCATCATCTGGACAAGAACAAGGTCAAAAAGGAGGAGGCATGTTCCAAAACATCACTGGAAGCTTTCAGGAAGGTGGTGGGATTGGCGAAACTATAGGCCAATATGCCCAATCCACTAAAGAAGCAGTGGGAGATTTTGCGCAGACAATGAAGAAGCCATTAGATGCAGCTGCACAAGGAGGAAGCGAGGTGATAGGAGCAGTAGGTGAAACTGTAGGTGAAATCGGACAGACAATGATCAGACCAGCAGAGAGAGCCTCAGAACAAGTTCAGAAAGGTCAAGCAGGAAGTGGCTTTATCGATGCTATTGGAGAAACCATAACAGAAATAGCACAGACAACCAAAACCATGGTTGTGGGAGATGATGATGAAATAGAATCAGGCTCGAAACAGAACATTGGATCAGATTTGATCATGGCAACCAAGGAGGGTTGACTTATGAAGTGCCTAGAAGAGAGACTTTGAAACCAGGAAAACCTGAGGTTTTATGGAGTCGATAGACAGACATGTTCAGTGTGTTGATGTTTTGGCGTTTTGTTTCGTGAATTCTGTAAATAAATAAAAGTCGCTTATGGCGATTCCAGAATGTCCGATTTGTAAACTCCGCTTGTCGTCCCTAAAAAATTGTGTGGGTGCAAATTTATAACTATGTTTTTGGTGTCTTGGGTTGGTGATGTAATTGTAATGTAATACATAGATCATGCTGAAGCAATTGCATTAGTCATTAGTGGGAAAGGAACCACTTGCCAGTCGGTGCAATTGCAATTGCATAAGCTAGGATCATGAGTGTTCTAATCATGTCATATTAAGAACCATGTCAGTGTGTATAATATGTTTTATTCTTAATAAACTGAGCTTGTTTATTTATCATTATATTTCTAACACCATTTCAAGCCAAAGATAAAATTATCGGTGATGTAAAAAATTCACATTTAAGATAAAAAAAAAATCAGGTGGCACATTTTTCATTGGGCAAATAACTTGAAGATTTTATACGATCCGAGTGTAGCATACAAATATGAATATGGGTAGCGTTTTCTCTTTCTCTTATGTTCAATACAATATTAAATAAATCAATGTACTATTCACTTAGTATTTACTATAATTCGTACCAAATGAACCAATAATGAAGCAATTAGTATGATATATATTTATCAAAGGCTTCTTCAATTCTACAAAATTGCTATAACCAATAAGAATTCCTTATTATCGGCCACACCTGTTCAATTTAAACAGAGGGAGTGAATGAATATAGTAGTACATGATATATATATATATATATCTATTGAACAGGGTATGGCTAATAATAAAGAATATATATATATATATATATTCTCGCCTTAACTCCCTTTATGACTTGAGTATCCTTCAAGAATCCCAAATAGGCCCAAAAGCAGGGATCCAGCCCTTCTTACAAGCTCTAACAACGTCTCTACTTCCTTCGGGATTGCTTGTAACAATGACCACTTCAGCATCCCACCTAATTGCAGCATCCACACTCATCTCTCCAACATTCGGCCTCCCACTAATTGCAGTGTCATGAACAATCATCTTCTCTTTCGAATATCTCCCAAGAACTCAATAATCTCCTTCCCAAAGTTCATCTCAATATCCTTAGCCACCCACACTAGAAAAACGTTTGCAGGGCATGGTTGCAGCAGAAATGACAGGAACACACAAACCCTGAACCAGTGGCCACCAAAACCACCCTCTGGTACAGATTTATCAGATAAGGCAAGCCAACGAAGTGCATGGTTCGAACCCATAGGTGGCTTGGTGGGTTACAGATTAAAGACTTGGTGTAATCCCAACTGCACCAGCTAGCATTATGTGTTCCTTTTCCCCATCTGAAATGATCCCAAAGGCGTGCCATTCTGATAATGGCGATGGGCTGATTCTTCCAAGTAATCCTGGTTTAACCCCACCATCAAATTTTATAACTGAAGCATGGCTAGATGCTGCTGACACTTGACTTGAACTTTTCTTACAGTTAGCCAAGGAGTGATGATCAGGATGGTTATGGCTACGGTGAACCAAAACTCTTGCCTCTTTATTAACATAGAGATGGTTGCATTGTAGGTTTTTGAACTAGGGTCATAGCTTATAAGAGGAAGATGAAGAACCAGAGAAGAATCAGAGCCATCCACCCTGCGAAACGATGTGTTCGCTCGAAGAAGTTGTGATGAAGATGGCGGATGACAGGAAAGGCGGCTAGGGAAGAAAGAGAAATTAGAGTGAGAATCCCAAATGCTAATCCAATAATCTCTGGCGAAGTTAGTTTTTTGTTTTTGATTGTAAGGACAAGAGAATAGACAAGCCAAGCTATAGAAGAAACCCCACATCCACTGTGCATTCCTCCGAGGCTTTGAAGAAAGGAAGTGATTGAAGTTTTGATCTTGAGAGAGGAACACTTGGCCTACCGAGAGTTTTCACAGCAAACCAGAAGATGAATCTTAGTGCTGCCTCGCTTCTGCACAACGTTAGAGCTAAAACGTTCCCAATGGAGAACAGTGTTGCTGTGTCTTTCCCATATTGGAGATGCCCTGAAGCTGCAAGAGCCAAAGCAACCATGTTCAAGCTCAAACAAACCAAAAATAAGATCTTGTACACCGTGAAGCCTTGATCAAGCAGAATCACTGACAACCTTGAAGTTTCGCATTCTTTGGTGGTGCAACCTTGACCATCTCTGGTGTCTCTAAATCCTCAATTTCTGCTAAGAACTCTACTTCAACATCCCCGCCTGCTTCGTCCATGTCAATGTCACAGAAGTGGCTGCTGGCTCGGCTCCTACTTGGGCTAGCCGAGTGGTGAGACCGAGGGAATATCTTGAAAGAACTGTTACGACTCCATGGAAGCCATATCCAGTTAGCTCCCGTTCTATCTTGCTTTGGCAGTGATGATAATGGTGGTGGTGGTGGTGGTGAAGAGGATGACCCTATTATTGCAAAGGGTTGGTTCTATTAGGATTGATCTCGAATGCTACACCACGACAGCTTGAGAATCTAGCGAGCTTCATAATCTCTGTGCCTTCCACTACTTCCTACGTTGATGATGCTATGATGATACAGGCGGTGCGCTAGAGAGAGTGGAATTCCATATCCAATATGCAATTTCGATTTGCATTGTTTTTGCATGTGTGATTACTATAGTAAGGAATATAGAGGGGGGAGGGATTGGAATTAACTGGCATATCCGTTTTAGTCAAATTGGTATCTGCAAGAAAACATTAAAATAACATGTTCCTACCATAAAATCATGCTTCTCCACAACTGCAAAAGATCAGGGAAGATGTTCATGTAATGTCCATGAGATGTTTATATGAAATTGTTTCTTATGATGTCAATATTAGTTTAATTTCAATAGGCGACTCAAAATCTGACCAAATTACTAAAACTACAAATGAAACAAGCTTTTAATGGTGAAATAATTCATTGTTGTAGCATTCATCTGCTCATTTATTTAGCTTGAATTTGGGCCGCAAAAGTGTTACTAATAAGCAGCAACATACAAATTACAACGATTGAAAATGGCTTTGTACATAACTTAGTGACGTGTAAGTTTTAGTAGAATGTCACGGATTCAATCCTTCCTGTAACCTTGAGTTATTGATGCTTGTCTCTCTAATTTTTTTTAAATAAAGATTGAACTAAAACTGAAAATACAAACTATATCCTTAGAATTAATTTTTAATACAAGTTGGTTTAGGGTCTTGACTCTGAACATATACGTACCAGCACATCTGAGTCGATTAATTCTAGAGGATAATAATAAAGAAAAACTAGAGAGCAACTGAGGGAATTTTGCACGTTCGAATGTGTTAGGAGCAATGTTTCAAATCTTGGGAGCACACGCACAATATCATTGTGAGATGTGTGTGTGTGTGTGTACACACACCATGCATTATTATTTATTCCCCCAACTTGTGGCTTGGATTCCGTGCACTGATCGATCAGGTTGAAAATATAAAACAAACCCTACATTTTCTGTTTATCTTAATTGTGGACCACTTTTCTAACAAAAATAATTAGAATTCTCTCCCCAAGCGAGGGAAAAGTGTATTTTTCATTTTCTAACTTATAGAATCATTATTTTTCTTTTTTCTTTTTTTTCAAAATTGGACGTTGGAGAGATGAAAGGGGTGAGGATTTTAAGGATGTTGGGATAGTGATGACAAAATTGAGTTCGAGAATTTTAGAGAATTAGTAAAAGAGAGTGGCATAATAATTGTGAAGGGAGTTTGGAGAGTTTTATAAGGTTATCAAATCCTAAATTAGTTGTCTTTTTATGCAAATAATATTTTCATATTTTGAAAATGCGATAACTGAAATTGTCGGACCTTTTTATTTCTTGTGAAATTTTCAATATCAATTCGTCTTTCATTCGCCACATTGCTTCCATCTTCAATTCATGTACGATGTTCCATACATTTTCACTATTTTCATCAAATCACATGGGATTCATATGACTTGGCCTGCCAGTTTTACTAGAGGTACCTAAAGGTGGCCATGTCATGTGTGGCTGTGAGAGTATAGCCCTCTGAATTAAGTCAGGCTTGAAAAAATAAGTGATTTTTAGATGAAAGAATTTGTGTGATTTTATAAGTGGTTAAAATCATTTGATTGAAATTGTTAACATTACAAAAAAATGATTAAAATTTGAATTGGAGAATATTTTTGTCTCTTAATTATTCGCTTAGAAATATCTCATATCCTAAACTTTCATGTAATGTAATTTTTTCATTCAACATTTGAAAAATTATACATTAAATAACTTGCCATTACAAAAGTTAACTTAGGTAGTTAGTTGACTTAAAAATTACGAAAAAATAACATAAAAATTACAAAAAAAATTGACTCTTAAAATTATAGATAAATACCCTATTAAAAATTAATATCAATTATATGTCCCCTAAATTATATATAAATAATAGGTTACAAATATTATTTCTTATACCGACCATTGTTCCAAGGACTTGATTGATATTAATTTTTGTATAAAATATTTATTTGCAATTTTATGTCTCATTTTCTATAAGTTTTATCTTTTTATTTTTTATAATTTTTAGTTAACTAATAGTTAAAATTAACTTTTTTAATGATGGAATGCTTATTGTACAATTTTTAAAAGTTAAAAAAAAATTATATCACATATAAGTTTAGGATATCAGATATTTTTGAATGAATAGTTTAAGGGTAAAAATACCTTTAACTTTTAAAATTATTTGATTTATTAGCATAATTAAAATTGTAAATAGAAAATTATATATTTTATTTCAAGATCTATATCTATACTGCAGAGTTTATAAGGAAAAATTTAATTAAAGACCTTTAAAATCTATAACTTTTAATCCTTTAAATTTATTTTAATTATTAATTTAGTCTTTAATATTTAATTTTTATCAATTTAATTTTCCAAATTTACTTTAATTATTAATT